CTCGTGGAGCAATGGGTAGTAAAGTAAGTCGCTATTCTTGTGGAGTAAAGTATATTAAAGTAAGTCGCTGTTCTTGTGGAGTAATAGGTAGTAAAGTAAGTCACTGTTCGTGTGGAGTAATAGGTAGTAAAACAAGTCGCTGTTCTCGTGGAGTAATAGGTAGTAAAGTAAGTCGCTGTTTTCGTGGAGTAATAGGTAGTAAAGCAAGTCGCTGTTCTCGTGGAGTAATTTGTAGTAAAACAAGTCGCTGTTCTCATGGAGTAATAGGTAGTAAAGTAAGTCGCTGTTCTCATGGAGTAATAGATTAGTAAAGTAATCGCTGTTCTCGTGGAGTAATTGGTAGTAAAACAAGTCGCTGTTCTCATGGAGTAATAGGTAGTAAAGTAAGTCGCTGTTCTCATGGAATAATAGGTAGTAAAGCAAGTCACTGTTCTCATGGAGTAATAGGTAGTAAAGCAAGTCGCTGTTCTCGTGGAGTAATTGGTAGTAAAACAAGTCGCTGTTCTTGTGGAACAATAGGTAGTAAAGTAAGTCGCTATTCTCGTGGAGCAATAGGTAGTAAAGTAAGTCGCTGTTCTCGTGGAGCAGTAGACAATTGGCTTTTCTTGTATTTCACTCTTAATTGGTCTGTTTTCTATCTAGAATATTAGTCTCTAAGTCTGTTTAAATTTTGATATATTGCAGTGTCAGGTAGTTCTTGTATTTTATTACATGAAATTTTGGAATCTTTCTACAATGTCATTTTCTTTGTACTATATTCCTAATGACTGGTCTATGAACTACATCTTAACATATAGCGAAATGAACCAACTTTCCCACCAGACCGCCATGTTACGAGAGATGTATAGTTCAACAATTTCACATGAGCATCGAATATGTTATGGTATCAAAATGTCAATGTCTGTGTACATTTAGACTATTCAACTAAACAACCCTTGTTTTGTGTTCAGCTAGGCATGATTATTGTTGTATTCATATCATTTTCTAATGGAATCGCTCTGTGATTCCATCTACATTTCCTGTTGTTTCTTTCTACAAAGCAGGAAAATTTTAATCTTTCAACCGGAAATTCAAAAACTACTTCCTTTGTTTCCTAACAAAGAAAAATTGTACATAACACCAACTTCTGGAAAAAGAAACAGACGGTAAAAAATACATTTCATTAATAATCCATTTCCTACATTTGCAATTGGGCAAGGAACAGCTAGCAATTTTGCATCCCGAATAGTCCACTGGCAGCATGGACAGGATGAAGATAAAAAAAATCTAATCGTATCAGCTCTGCTGATGAAGCGCGTTCAGCCAATAAACACCCGTTCATGGTTTCGACCACCTATAATTTTGAAAATAAGCCTAACGACAATCCATAGTGGACTGTTGATAACAATTCACCATCAGTGTCCATGACGCATACCATTGTTAGAATGCTTCAAGCGCATGCGCACTCACTGATTACTTATTACCAGGTGGGACCGCCCAGTACGCAAGATAAAATACTACTTTTCAAATAGAGCAACAGACACAATGCTAACAGCTTTTATGCAAATAATAATGACTGAAGCATTAGTATCTTATATGTAGTATGCGAATATGTAAATTCTGGATGTTATTATCGTCTTAAGCTGATTATTAAATTTTAACTTCAATACATCATTGTCTAATAATCATGCAACTGTAATAAAACATAAGCAGATTAAAAATATAGATAAACTATTTGACATAAAGATACATTAAATGTAGAAAATAATTGCTTTAGAAATGTTCGCTTATTTACTTAATCAACTTTTACCAGACAATTTTACGAAATATGCAAGTGAATCATTAAAATAAGAATAAAAGAAACTAACAGTAACAATATTTATGTGTTCAGAATATCAACCGAGATCCATGGTTTGCGGACCGTTGCTGCAATAAGATACGCTTCGCACTTTGGAGCCATGGGTGAATTATAAAAGTGGCAGTCAAATCCCACTGTTCAATTACAGTAGCTCATGAGTTGGCATTGGGGCTGTTGACTAAGTGCCTTTAATGTGTCAGTTTAAAATTAGTGTCAACTACGTGCATAGAATTCTTGGTACAGCTTGAATAATTCTGAAAGAAGCACATCGTGCTGTACGGCCTGCCACTGACCAAATGGACTGACTTGACCTCGGGCCTATTAAGAAGGAAAGATGTAACTTATCTCTTGCGACGTCTCCTTTATAGGAATATCAAACATTTTACAACTCTGATTCGATGACGAGGAACCCATTTGGAGACTAATAATGATTGGAGACGGCTTGAATGGGTAATGAAGAAAAATGTTAATATAAATTTCACATAACAGCAAATGTACAACGTTTCGACAACTATCTGCAGCATACTCACATCCATACAGGCTGAAGTTACTATAGGACTACTTACGTATAGTACGGAACTATGTGTACTTACTAACAGTAACAGTTGGAACTAGTAGTTTGGTCCTGTAAGACCCAATAATGTCCTGTCTTACAGGACTTACTTTTAGAACTTTATCAAACTAACTTTAAAACAACAATATCTACTAACAGTGTGAAATATACATATTTTTTATCTATATTTTATCCAAAAGTTTCGAAATGGCCCTTCTAATACTTCATTTTTCGGCTCCATTGTTGTAGATTAAATGTTACTGAAGTAATTTAGAATTCGAAAGGTAAAAAGCAGATAACCCATATGTTGTTTAATATAACAAATCATTTATATTCACTGATTATATGTGGATATCTTTTACCACACTGAACTTGTTTGCTCGGATTACTTGACTCATTCAGATGGACAGCTTAAAGACGGAGATAAGGACAACACATCCAAAAGACAAAGCTGTGAATATCTAGCAGAAAAATGTGTCTTATTTCGAAACATTGAGCGTATTGATCTTGACAGTAACGTTTTATGAAGGCTCTTATGAATTATACATATTTATTCATTTATTGTTATTTATTTTTTTTCTTTTAAGTGGATACAAAGTGTTCTTGTTAAAACATTTTTCCCTCACATATTTTCGGGTTCTTTTTCGATCTTATTGTGTTCTTAATTATTATCCTAAAATCTTATTCATACATGATTTAAATACAAATACTAATATTACAGTTCACCTGCTTAATCTTATTACCATCACAACTGTTGTTATTTATATAAAAAAAATATCATATACTGTCTTAACCACTACTGTATCTGTCGTATCCTAGTTGGCCTGATGAGACCTGGTACTGGTTGAAAAGCCTCGTCGGCACTGGATGTGGCGGATGTAATGTGGTTGACATAATATATTCTTATCTTCTTTCACTTGTGGGCACTTAGAATTAAGATCTGGTTCGTATGAATGTTTGAAGATCGCCGCGTCATTCAAGTCACGATTTGTTTTCTTCAAGATAGTGAAACTTGTAAATTATAAAAAGGGTTTAACGAACTACACTCGTCTGTAAAAAAAAAAAAATAAGACTGCTTTTTTTTCGAGGGGGGGAGTGATTTCATCATTAACCCTTTAAAGACCGTGCATAAAAGCCAGCGATAGTTTGTTAGCACATACGTTATAATTTTCAACTTAATAGTTTATTGCTCATAAAGTGTTTAAAACGTGAATCGAATGGATAGACTTAGATTTATTAAGTAGTCACGTTTTCAATTAATTTCAGACCGTTAAAGTAACTTTAATTATAATTTTTGAATTAAGAGCAAGTCTACACAAATGATGATTCAATGTATTCTAATCATTAAAGCTTGTTAATGTTTCTTAACATTCATCTGACAATTATGATTACTTTACCATTTCTGGTATCCAGATTTATAACAATAAATATTCCTAGTTAATATTTCTTAACATTCATTTTACAATTATGATTACTTTACCATTTCTGGTATCAAAGATTTATAGCAATAAGTACCCTTAATTAATATTTTAGAACATTCATCCTCTGATTATGATTACGTCACTATTTCTGGCATTCAGATTTATAACACTAAGTATTCCTAGTTAATACTTTACAACAGTCATCCTGTGGTTATGGTTATATTACCAACCATTTTTAAACAAGAGTATAAATGACATTTTTTCTCCACAAAAAGTTAATGGACTACTGGTGGGCTCTTTTAAATTCACAAACAAAAGACAGTTAGCCTAATGAGAACATAATTTACTTTTCTACTGAAAATTACTATTATTGGCATGATACTACAGTAAATCAATTTTTTTAAAGTTCAGCTTTGTTATGATATTGCCCTTTTTTTATCACATCTGCTAATATTTGTTTATCTATACAAGTTCAGATCATTGCATTATATTACCCTGTTAAATGAAATGACATTTTACAAGTTCAGAATACAAGTTCAGATCATTGCATTATATTACCCTGTTAAATGAAATGACATTCAGCATACAAGTTCAGATCATTGCATTATATTACCCTGTTAAATGAAATGACATATTGCAAATTGTTTTTACTGGGTATACGTCACCATAAGACAGTACAAAATCTGATATTTATATCTTTGGATAATATTTACATTTTAAACGTCATATTTCTTGGGAATCACCTGAGTTGTGTTTTATTAGCTTAGCGATTGACGAGAAATTTAAACTTGTTTTATAATATACAGAGATATTAAAGATAATAGCATTACAAGAAATTATTATCACGTTTCACTTTCGAACTGACGTGACTGATCCCGTTTTCATGTGATAACTTGGCTGAAGTAAGATATTTACGTACCCGTTACTCGCTAGCTGTCGCACCGAGTTGTATCCTCTACGAGAGTGAATCAGTAATTCGAAATGTTTAATCTACAGGCGGCTGGGCTTTTCTGGGTAGCGAGGTCGCCACACAGTCGTAGTTTATTATTATTATTGTCGCTGCTGAACGCACGCGGTAAAAAAATTTGGCTGAAAAGTTAATGTTTTCGCCTGAGGCAGAGAGTGCAGAGCACGAGCCCTAACAGCTACTGGTTTTCTCGCTATACTCTCGTTCTCTGTTTTTTGACAGGTGGAGCCGAAGAGACTCAGTCAAGCGTTCGACCAGACGCCTTGAGGTTGGGTGCGACAAAAGCCAATGAAAACCACACTCGACTTAATCATATTATGAAGGTTAATGAGCCATCGTGTTGAGACGAGAGATAGGGAGATTTGCACTAGCCACAAGTTAACATATACACCTGTCTAATGATCGGGCACTAGGGTCACTGACTGAGCCTTCTTCAGGACAACACCTGTTCTCGGTAAACCACTCCGTTGGCTGATATTTTAACGTTGACCGAACTCTACTTGTCTACCTCTGTGTTGAGCCTATGTCGACTTGTTACAAACCACGCCAGTTTTCCTGAATCACCATCCCCGCCTTCGACCGACAACTTTAATGGACTTGAGCGTTCCGAAGCGTTCCATATCGCCACCTGCGGTGCCACCACCACATCCATTGGCACCGTCTCTCCGAACCAGCATCGCTCTTCCATTTCTCTCTTCTGCCGGCACGTCTACCTTGACTTCAGTCTCCGTGCCCGGCATGGTACACTTCCCTCACGTTCCGGCTCTAACAGCGGTTTCTCCCCAAAGACCTGCGAATATCTCCCCGACCGCAGCTTACGGTTCTTGTGAACCAGCACCACCGGCTTTCTCCTGTAACGTCACGGCATCGCCATTAATGTCAGGTAGGAATATATCTAGTACTACAATATAAATGGTTCTTTAATCTTTAACAAATGCTTCCGAGTTCATATCGTTCTAACAAATCATATCACTAACAAGTAATGTATTTGTCTAGCAACCTAAAACAATACAAATTTTTAACACTCATCTTATAAGGTAAGAAAACACTATAATTTCTGTGATGTATGCGATATGGATTGACTAAGTTAAGATTACTTTTCATTACGTTATTTGTAATTATTCCTGATAAAATCCTCATTTGTTTTAAGAACTCCTTGGATACTTGTACACTGTTCAGTGATCGTAGAGTACTCGGAGATTTGATATACTGATAACTAAACAAGAGTTGTATGGCTTTCAGAGTTTAAAAAGTATATCTCAGTACACAAGAGTTGTATGGCTTTCAGAGTTTAGAAAATATAACTCAGTACACAAGAGTTGTAGAGCTTTCAGTTTAGAAAGTATATCCAAGAACACAGGATTTCTTAGGCTTTCAGAGTTTAGAAAGTATGTCCAAGTACACAAAAGTTGTATGGCTTTCAGAGTTTAGAAAGTATATCCAAGTACACAATAGTTGTATGGCTTTCAGAGTTTAGAAAGTATGTCCAAGTACACAAAAGTTGTATGGCTTTCAGCATTTATATATCAACTGTTTTGATAGGGTTCTTCATATTGATGCAGTATTAATGAAAACAGGCAAGTTAAAAGTTAAGAAAAATTAATCTAACGTGCATGAAATTTGTTGAGTTTGAGATGGGACAAAATATACTTTAAAACCAAGAGTGCCTTACATGTTGTTAAGATAAGTCTTGTGCTATTTAATAATTATTTATGACAGAATAAGTTATTTGTTCATTTTTTTTTGTTATTTAACAATTATGTGAAACAGAATAATCCAGGTGGTTATTCTGTCTGGTGAATAATACCGCTCTGTTTTCACGGACCAATTATTTATATAACATCTACTCTTTCTTCTTTTAATTCCTGAATACAAAACAGGAGAAAGTAATATGTGGGCGTTTTTTCTCTAACAAAAAAGAGGAAAAGTAATAAGTAGGCATTTTGTCAGTAACAAAAACAGAAGAAAGTAATAAGTAGGCATTTTGTCAGTAACAAAAACAGGAGAAGGTAATAAGTAGGCATTTTGTCAGTAACAAAAACAGGAGAAGGTAATAAGTAGGCATTTTGTCAGTAATAAAAACAGGAGAAGGTAATATGTGGCCATTTTCTCAACAAATATAGATGAACTGATTACCTTTATTTGAAGAACCCAGTTTTCTCTTATATTTATAGTTCTGATTCTTTATATCATGAAAAACTATTTTGATGTTCTGAGTATATATTTTGTTGAATATCATTCCATTGTTTTTTAGATACACTCTATTACATTGTTATATAACATGAAACGTGTAGTGAGTTAATAGTTTTTCTGCGATGGACAGCAGAATGAGTGACTTGAGGAGAACTCAATTGCACCATTCCCTAAGTAGGAGGTTTACCTAAGGTAAAGATGCTGGGTTGAAAGCAACGATTTATTTCACACAGGGACGTTCAAAGGAGCGTCACAGATGTTATCAGAGTTTTTAATCTGTTAACAATTGAAACGACTCACAGGCTATCTTTAACATCCTACACTTTGAGTGCATTATTGTTTTTTCTGTAATGCAAGTGTTACACTGAATGCGTGACACCAGAATGTATCAGTTTATGCAAGAGTTTTAGACTCATCGCCTGAAAGCATAAACACCTCTAAAGGCAATAGTTTTACACTCGACGCCTGATAGTAGAATATACAACTCAAGGCAATAGTTTTACACTCGACGCCTGATAGTAGAATATACAACTCAAGGCAAGGGTTTTATACTCGATGCCTGATAGTAGAAGATACAACTCAAGGCAATAGTTTTACACTCGACGCCTGATAGTAGAGGATATAACTGAAGGCAAGGGTTTTACACTCGACGCCTGACAGTAGAATATACAACTCAAGGCTAGGGTTTTATACTCGATGCCTGATATTAGAATATACAACTCAAGGCAATAGTTTTACACTCGACGCCTGATAGTAAAGGATACAACTGAAGGCAAGAGTTTTACATTCGACGCCTGATATTAGAATATACAACTCAAGGTAATAGTTTTACACTCGACGCCTGATAGTAGAAGATACAACTCAAGGCAAGGGTTTTATACTCGATGCCTGATAGTAGAAGATACAACTCAAGGCAATAGTTTTACACTCGACGCCTGATAGTAGAGGATACAACTGAAGGCAAGGGTTTTACACTCGACGCCTGATAGTAGAATATGCAACTCAATGCAATAGTTTTACACTTGACGCCTGATAGTAAAGGATACAAGTCAAGGCAATAGTTTTACACTCGACGCCTGATAGTAAAGGATACAACTCAAGGCAAGGGTTTTATACTCGACGCCTGATAGTAGAAGATACAACTCAAGGCAATAGTTTTACACTCGACGCCTGATAGTAGAAGATACAACTCAAGGCAATAGTTTTACACTCGACGCCTGATAGTAGAATATACAACTCAAGGCAAGGGTTTTACACTTGACGCCTGATAGTATAATATACAACTCAAGGCAATAGTTTTACACTTGACGCCTGATAGTAAAGGATACAACTGAAGGCAAGGGTTTTACACTCGACGCCTGATAGTAGAATATACAAGTCAAGGCAATAGTTTTACACTCGACGCCTGACAGTAGAATATACAACTCAAGGCAATAGTTTTACACTCGACGCCTGATAGTAAAGGATACAAGTCAAGGCAATAGTTTTACACTTGACGCCTGATAGTAAAGGATACAACTCAAGGCAATAGTTTTACACTTGACGCCTGATAGTAAAGGATACAAGTCAAGGCAATAGTTTTACACTTGACGCATGATAGTAAAGGATACAACTGAAGGCAAGGGTTTTACACTCGACGCCTGATAGTATAATATACAACTCAAGCTAACTTTGCATAAGAATTTGTTACTTCTTAAGGAATCGCTGCCAAGCCGATAAAAAATGAATAACAATGATTTCTCAAATCGATGAATTCGATAACAACGAAACAAATAAAACGTAACACGTGTCATTGTAATGTTTTCTTAAATCCTGAGTTTTTCCTAAGTGTTAATGTACCTTTGTGGTATTAAAAGTATTTAAAGTTTTCATTGGGTACTGATCGTTTTGAGGCAGAAGAATATTTGTCCACAAGTATGTCATTCCTTTACCTTTTTCACCATATTCTTAGGTTTAACAAAATACGTAGTTAGGTACTCTAAACTAAAGTAGCATTGTTTCGGTATGTACGTATTACAAAGTGACCATCTGAAAGAGCGTCAGGTGCTTCACAATACTTCAACTTACTACTTATAATAATGAGCAAACAGGTTTTCAGTTTGCCATCCTTTGCTGGTGAGAGTTTTCATCGGTAGTTCTATTAAATGCTACCAAAGTCTATATTTTAAACTTAGAGAGTTCTGATTTGATCAATTGCATAAGTGATCTTAAATAAAAGGGTTTTCATACCCATATTTTCTATCTAAATGTGCAGCTATTAATTATAAGAATACATACAAAAAGACCTTTTTAGCTATATACAACTAATAAGCTTAAGACGATGACTTGGCATAATTCCCACGTCATAAATAACCGTGATATTTCAAGCTCAACCTCAAATTAAGGTCTATGTTGTTAATAATTGATTAGGTAAAGTGACTTGCAAATTACTCTGCATTAAGCATTGGGTAAGACTTTATTGTGACTTAATCTGTTGGCATATTTAGGGCGTCTCCGTTTATTGACAGTTAGTACCGGGCTACACTGAAACAGATCTATCAGAAGCTTAAGTTGCTGTACGTAGAGAGAAACGGTTAACTTACTCGTTAATGGCTTTCGCTTTTCAAGGAATCACTTTATGTAATATGTATAAGTAAGGTTGCTGATCGAAACATTCATTTTTCTCACGATTTGAATTCAATGTGTATGGTAAGTCCAAAGTGTTCGTTGTTTCACTATGTAGTTGTGTTCATATGTTTTACCTGTCCAACTCTGTATCTGTTTGTCTATATTTCACCTATCGTATAGGTTCATGGGATTAGCCCCCTGTTCCTAATATTGAACTCTGTGGCTGTATGTCTATGTTTTTATCTATCTCCTGTTCCTAATGTCGAACTCTGTATCAGTATGTGTTTGTTTTACTTATTGTCCAGATTCATGGGACTAGCCCTCCCGTTTGTAATACTGAAATCTATATCACTATGTGTTTGTTTTACTTATTGTCCAGATTCATGGGACTAGCCTTCCCGTTTCTAATACTGAACTCTGTATCTGTATTCTATGTGTTTACCTATCGTACAGGTTCATTGGACTAGCCCTTCTGTTCCTAATATTTAACTCTGTATCTGTATATCTATGTTTTTACCTGTCGTCCAGGTTCATGGGACTAACCCTCCTGCTCCTAATGCCAAACTCTGTATCAGTATGTTTTACTTATTGTAGAGGTTCATGGGACTAGCTCTCCTGTTTCTAATATTGAACTGTGTATCTGTATTCTATGTGTTTACCTATCGTACAGGTTCATGAAACTAGACCTCCTGTTCCTAATATTGAACCCTGTATCTGTATATCTATGTTTTTACCTGTCATACAGGTTCATGGGACTAACCCTCCTACTCCTAATGTCAAACTTTGTATCAGTATGTTTTACTTATTGTAGAGGTTCATGGGACTAGCTCTCCTGTTTCTAATATTGAACTGTGTATCTGTATTCTATGTGTTTACCTATCGTACAGGTTCATGAAACTAGCCCTCCTGTTCCTAATATTGAACTCTGTATCTGTATGTCATGTTTTTACCTATCGTACAGGTTCATGGGACAAGCCCTCCTGTTCCTAATACTGAACTCTGTGTCTGTATATCTATGTGTTACTTAGCTCCTAATGTAGAACTCTGTATCTGTATGTCATGTTTTTACCTATCGTAAAGGTT